GAGGCTCTGCTTGTCTGCTCCTCCCAGCCCGGCTGCAGAGGCATCCGAGCAGAAAGCAGAAAGCTTGACTCGGGGCTTGCGGCTGCTGGCCTGGGGTGGAAAGGGTAACCCTCGCCTCTGGGCCTGCAGACTGAGCTGTCATCTCCGCCCCCTGCGGGCCTGCCCTCTCCTCGGAGGGGCCTTGGTTCCTTCCTTTTTCCTGATTGGACAATGTTAAGTCCCGAGGCTTTGATTCCTAAGTTTCAGACTCTAGTTTTCATGAAGTTTATGGGTCTTATGGAAACCAGGGTGTTCATTCATTTCATTCATTCGCTCACTCAGACTGGTCATCTGTCAGCCCTGCTGGTCCAGGCTGAGCTGAGGGCTCAGTAATTCCATCCTGTGACTTTGATGGTAGGTCGAGAGCACCTCTGTCCCTGGCAGGCCCCAGCATCACAACAGCCACTGGGCTCATCCCTTCATTATCTCAGGTGTGCTCACGGCCTGTTGGTTACAGTCCCCAGGGCCTAGAGCAGCAGGTCCAGGCAAGTCCTGGGAGATCAGAGGGAACTTAGCACCCATGTGCAGTCCCCGGGTAAGCCTCACAATGCCCTGAACCACCTTATTGGTGCGACACATTCCTTCCTTCCCACGGGTCTTGGCCTAGGGCATGGAGGCCGGGGCCGCTCTGCTCTCCAACGACTTGACCAGGATTCCTGGGCCCTAGCCGTCGGGGACATGACATATGGGCCTCTGGTCCCTGACTTCTGGGGGGTCAGTGTGCCTGGCCCTCTCACTTGGCCTCGGTTTGCTCACGGCCCCTCCCCCTCTTTGCTGATGGTCCTGGGAAGGCACACGAAGGGGAGGCAATGCCGAGCCCGCTGCTGGGGCCTGGGTGGCGTCAGGGGCTGCCAGCAGCTGACCTGGCTGCCCTCACGCCCTTCACCACTGGTGCTGGCTCGGTTTGGGGACACAAGACAGGGCCCAACTCAGCCCTGAGAAGAGTGTGCCTGACAGTTGCCTGGGAACGTGCTTCCTAGAGAGGGGTGGGCACCTGACCCCGAGGGAGGTTCGAGCTGCCTTAGTTTTGCCTGGTTGCACAGCTGCAGCTCCTGCCCATTGGCCCTGTTCCTTGGCAGAGTGGTGGGCCTCCTGAGGTCAGCCCGGAAGTTCTGTGATTGAGCACAGTGTCTCTTTCTGGGCAGGGTTTCCCTTCAGCAGGCCTTTCTGGGCCCCCCAAGTGCAGGGCAAGGGCGAGGCCTCAAGTTCGTGCCGGCGAACAGGAGACGAGGTGGAGGAGAAGACAGGTGCGTGCAGAGGTGGCGGGTGGGCAGGCGCCGTGGCTCGGGCAGTCTGGTCGTTGCCGTCCCTCCAGGTGCCCCTTATCAGTGCAGGCTCTGTTTCTTGTGGGGTGCAGCCACAGCCCCTGCTGGGGCAAAGCCGTCAGCCTCCCCCCGCTCTGTAGAGGGGGCTTCGCTTCCAGAGTTCCCCTCAGGTCCTTGCCCTTATCTCCATCGCCAGGATTCCCCTGGGTTGCTCACAAAAGCCTCTCTCTTGCTGGAAACACTCTTTCTCCAGGAGCCATTGAGGCGGGAGAGGAGCCCACCCCATCCCTGGCAGCCCTTGGGGATGCGAAAGCCTTCAGAAGCCAGGTGGGTAGAGCCCAGGGGGCCACTCTACAGTGCGGGAGGCAGGTGGCCGGCAGCCAGAGCTCAGGGCCACCCAAAGATGATGGACAGCCTGGTCCTCCAAAGGAGGGACTGCTGAAACCAGCCCCACCTGACACCGGCCCCCCGAAAGCCCAGGAGGGCTGCCTCCCAGAGAAACCCAGAGAGGAGGAGACAGGCGGCCCTGAGAGCAGTGAGGAGGGCCTGTCCCCGGAGGGTGATGCCAGCAAGAAGACCTACAAGTGTGAGCAGTGTGGCAAGGGCTTCAGCTGGCACTCCCACCTGGTGACGCACCGGCGCACGCACACCGGCGAGAAGCCCTACGCCTGCACGGACTGCGGCAAGCGCTTCGGCCGCAGCTCCCACCTCATACAACACCAGATCATCCACACGGGCGAGAAGCCCTACACGTGCCCCTCCTGCTGGAAGAGCTTCAGCCACCACTCCACACTGATCCAGCACCAGCGCATCCACACGGGCGAGAAGCCCTACGTGTGCGACTGCTGCGCCAAGCGCTTCACCCGCCGCTCGGACCTGGTCACCCACCAGGGCACCCACACGGGCGCCAAGCCCCACAAGTGCCCCATCTGCAGCAAGTGCTTCACGCAGAGCTCGGCCCTGGTCACCCACCAGCGCACCCACACTGGTGTCAAGCCCTACCC